TTCGGAGGCTGAGGTGAATGGATTGCCTGAGCCCGCGGGTTCGAGACCCGCCTGGGCAACTTGGCGAGACCCCATCTCTACAATAAATCAAAAATTAGCCAGGCATGGTGGCGCGCACCTGTAGGTCAGTTGCTTGGAAGGTTGAGGCGGAAGGATCGCTGGAGTCCAGCAAGTCAAGCCTGCCGTGGCCGGGAGCGGCCATTGCACTCCAGTCTGGGTGACAGAGTGAGACTCCAATTCAAAAAGAAAAAAAGAAAGCATCCTAAGCAGTGATCTCTTCCTTCCTGTTTCATAATTAAAAATTTTCCCTCCTAAATTGTTTTGATTGATTGTCATAGCTTTTCCCACAGTCCCCCCCCAAATGTAACCTGATAGGAGTTAAGAGCGTTCATAAAATTATTTTTTCTACAAGTTTTATACCAGGCTTTAAGGAGTGATTATGTCTTGAGTATGTTTTCATAGGTTATTTTCTGGAAAATTATGCAGTAGAAGATAATGCCTTTATTTACTCAATTTTAGTGTTTCTACTTTTTCTGTGGTGCAGAATGAATGACTTAAAATTATAGTAAGTCCTGCTGTGAATCTTCTTAGACTTCTATTCCACATCAAGTTATTTTGGAAGAGTAGTCCTCAAACTTGAAAAATAATCTGTCTCTTTTTTATGTTTAAAATTGAGGACCTCCAAAGAGCTTTTGGTGAGATTATACCTATTGATAGTTACCATGTAGGAAATAGAGAACTTTTTTTAAGTGCTCAAACTCATATACCTTTTAGTCTTCACAGAACAAAAGCCTAAAAGTGAAAGTGGTCATAGCACATAACAGTATTCTTGTTAGACCCTCACTCCTGCTTTAAATGAATGTGTATGTTCTTCTATTGTGTATTTCTTTCTAATGACTTCTCCTCAAGATGCTTTTATAAAAAGGTAGATAATGAATGTCACTATTTTACTAGTACTGGAAAAGTCGTTGATCTATTTCAGCTATAGTAACAGAGTTGATTTTTTATGATGGTTGAAGGTCTTTAATTATCTTAACGCTTAAACCGTAGTTATTTTTCATTATAGTTTTGTTAGTAAATATTTTCTCACAGCATCTTTTGAGTAGGCAGTATTGCATAGGAAACCATGTATTCCAGACAGACTTCCAAGTTAGATTTCCAGTTCTGCCACTTTGTGACTTGGGCAAATTACTTCATATCTCTGAAAGTCTGTTTATTCAAATATAAAATGAAGAAAATGTGTGTGTGGTTTTTTTTTTGTTGTTGTTTTTTTTTTGAGTTGGAGTCTCACTCTGTCGCCCAGACTGGAGTGCAGTGGCCGCTCCCGGCCACCGCAGCCTCAACCTGCTGGGCTCCGGCGATCCTTCCACCTCAGCCTTCCATGTAGCTGGAACTACAGGTGTGCGCTACCACGCCCGGCTAATTTTTTGATTTATTGTAGAGATGAGGTCTCGCCTGCCCAGACAGGTCTTGAACCCGCGGGCTCAGGCAGAAATTTGTTTTTATAAGGGTTGGAAACATTGGTACATAGGTGTTTCGGTTTCATGTATTAATAGTGTGGGAAATATCAAAATGAAATTTAAGACTACTTTAGAAAAATTTCACAAGTGTTAGATTTTTGTCTGATAGATGCTCTGGAAGCTGCTTATAGTGGCCAGCCATCTATAGTTTTTTATAGAAATGAAGTCTTTAATTTCCTTGTAACAATTACTGTTTCAGTGAAACTCAAGTTTTTCCCAGAGGTTAGTTCTGCTCTGAATTGTAAAGAAAATTTTATAACAGCCTTGGGAGAATGATTGGTTAATTCTGTTAGATGAGAGGTAGATGGCATACTGCTTAAGAGGTCAAGTTTTCTCTGACCTCAGATGTTGGTTTGAATTATGGCTCAGTTCTGCCTCTTGCTTTGTTTAGCAGTAGATTCCATTTCCTAATCTCTAAAATGGGACTGACAAGTGTCTTATAGAGATGTAAAATAAAAACATAAGTCTGTAGCTTATAACATACATTAAATAGTCCATAAGTGTAGGTACTTTTGTAATTTACATGTGATTTTAAAACTTTTTTTTTCCCTCTCCCCCTAGGCTATGGTGAACTAAATGGTAATGCTGGAGAAAGAGAAATATCTTTAAAGAGCCTCGGTTCTGATGAAGCTACCAACCCTATTTCCAGGGTCCTCAATGGCAACCAGCAAGTTGTAGACACTAGCTTGAAGCAGACTGTAAAGACAAGCACCTTTGGGAAAGCAGGAATTAAAACCAAGAATTTCATTCAGAAAAACAGTATGGACAAAAAGAATGGGAAGTCTTATGATAATAAATCTGGAGAGAACCAGTCTGTAGATAAGACTGATACTATAGCAATTCCAAATGGTGTGGTAACAAATAATTCTGGCTATATTACTAATGGTTATATGGGTAAAGGAGCAGATAATGATGGTAGTGGATCTGAGAGCGGATATACCACTCCTAAAAAAAGGAAAGCTAGGCGCAATAGTGCCAAGGGTTGTGAAAACCTTAATTTAGTGCAGGACAAAATAATGCAACAAGAGACCAGTGTCCCAACCTTAAAACAGGGACTTGAAACTTTCAAGCCTGACTATAACGAACAAAAGGGAAATCGAGTAGATGGTTCAAAGCCCATTTGGAAGTATGAAACTGGCCCTGGAGGAACAAGTCGAGGAAAACCTGCTGTGAGTGATATGCTTCGGAAAAGCTCAGATAGTAAACCTGGTGTGAGCAGCAAAAAGTTTGATGATCGGCCCAAAGGAAAGCATGCTTCAGCTGTTGCCTCCAAAGAGGACTCGTGGACCCTATTTAAACCACCCCCAGTTTTTCCAGTGGACAATAGCAGTGCTAAAATAGTTCCTAAAATAAGTTATGCAAGCAAAGTTAAGGAAAACCTCAACAAAACTATAGCGAACTCTTCTGTGTCTTCATCTTCATCCTCTTCGTCATCGACTGGGGAAACTCAAACCCAGTCATCAAGTCGATTATCCCAGGTCCCTATGTCAGCGCTAAAATCTGTTACTTCTGCCAACTTCTCTAATGGGCCTGTTTTAGCAGGGACTGATGTATATCCTCCAGGGGGTCAGCCACTGCTAACTACTGCTGCTAATACTCTAACACCCATCTCTTCTGGGACTGATTCAGTTCTCCAGGACATGAGTCTGACTTCAGCAGCTGTTGAACAAATTAAGACTAGCCTTTTTATCTATCCTTCAAATATGCAAACTGTGCTGTTGAGCACAGTACAAGTGGATCTACCCTCTCAGACAGATCAGCAAAATCTGGGGGATATCTTCCAGAATCAGTGGGGTTTATCATTTATAAATGAGCCCAGTGCTGGCCCTGAGACTGTTATTGGGAAATCATCAGATCATAAAGTGATGGAGGTGACATTTCAAGGAGAATATCCTGCCACTTTGGTTTCACAGGGTGCTGAAATAATCCCCTCAGGAACTGAGCATCCTGTGTTCCCCAAAGCTTATGAGCTGGAGAAACGGACTAGTCCTCAAGTTCTGGGTAGCATTCTAAAATCTGGGACTACTAATGAGAGTGGAGCCTTATCCTTGGAACCCAGTCATATAGGTGACCTGCAAAAAGCAGACACCGGTAGTCAAGGTGCTTTAGTGTTTCTCTCAAAGGACTATGAGATAGAAAATCAAAATCCACTGGCCTCTCCTACGAACACTTTGTTAGGCTCCGCCAAAGAACAGAGATACCAGAGAGGCCTAGAAAGGAATGATAGCTGGGGTTCTTTTGACCTGAGGGCTGCTATTGTATATCACACTAAAGGTAACTCATTTGTTTCCTATACAAAGGTTTTTATTTATTAGCATATTTTTATTAGTTTGTATTAAGAGTGAACATTTCAGAGTTTAGTTGAGAATGACAGTGTAGATAAGCAAACATCAGGATAAGCCTATGGCATCAAACTAATTCAAGGTCTTTAGAAATAGTATGATTAAAGTTTAGAAGGAATGTTATTTCCCAGCTTAAAAGCATTTTTTAATATAGACAAATACAATTGACCTACTTGGTTTATTGGGGAAAAAAAGGGTAGGAGCTTGCTTAGAGGTATGGTGTTATAGTTCCTCTTGAACACTTTTAAGAGTGCTTTAAAATTTTCTTTGAACAAACATTCCCCTCTGCTTTTTATGTCATGTGCTTTATTAGTAGGGAGCAGTGTTTTTGAGGCGGAATCTGAAAAAAGATGGAGTGTTAAACTTTTTTCTCTTGTAAGAAGGAATAATGAGTTCTAGAAAATAATTTGGAGAAATTACAATGGCAAGTATGATTAGCATAGTAGAGACCAAAGTTTTGGAATGTCTGTGCTTTTCATATCCCCAAAGCCCATGTTTAAAGGGAACAAGATAGCTTTCAAGTTTCATGCTAATAACTTCCTTAGAATGTGGTTTGTATGTGTGGCATAATTGTAATTTAAATCCTTAGAGCAAATAATGAGGTTTAATGAATGATGTTTATAACCTTTTGCTTTTGAGAATAGTGGTTTTCAGTCTTCCCACCCCTTCCACCTCCATCTTGCCCCCTTCCCTAACAGAAATACATACTCCATGCATGCATGTGTACACTAATATATACTGCACATTCCCATTTTTAACAATGGCTCATTTAGGCAATGACTTGGCAACTGCAGGGAAGAGGGGACATATCAGATAGTGGGTATTAGGTAATTACCATATTCTCCCTGGAAGAAATCATTGCCTCAGAGATGAATAACAAAGCTATTTATGTGACTTTTAAGTGAATTTCCTAGTGTGCATACCTTTCCTTATCTGCAGGCTGGAAGACATTTAGTACAATAAACAGATGCCCTTTTTATATCATTTTCCTTCCTTTAAAAATGGGAACAAGTAGTAGAATTGCCTTATGGAAGTTTAAGAATAGGAATCCTGGTAGATTACCTTTATCTGTTTTTCTTGTTCTCCAGCTTTGCTCTTTGGAAGTAGCTGCAGGAGCTGGATGTTTTTAGGAGAGTTAGAGCAAAAAGAAATGCTCAGTTTCTTAAGATGTGGTTAATTATATATAAGTTAACTTCTGCCAGGAGGGTTGGGTGTTTTTGGTGTCATTTTCTGTGCCATGAACTCTCCAGAGACTATTAGTGGAAAATGTTTCTTTTTTTTGAGTTGGGAGTCTCACTCTTGTGTCCCGGGCTGGAGTGCAGTGGCATGTGGCATGTTCATGGCCACCGCAGCCTCAGCATTCCAAGTAGCTGGAACTACAGATGCACACCACCACACCCAGGTAGTTTTTGTGATTTATTGTAGAGACGAGGTTTCACCAAGTTGCCCAGGCTGGTCTTGAACCCCTGGGATCAGGCAGTCGTCTCACCTTGACCTCCTAAAGTGCTGGGATTACAGGCTGAGCCATCGTGCCTGGCTGGAAAATGTTTACCAAAGTATTTTGTACTGATGGTCATTGTGTGAGCCTGAGATGATATCTGGTTTTGTTAAGTTCTCTTACCACTTCCAAAAAAATTAAGGGGATACGTTGTTCCATTAGATAGTTGGTTTTATGAACTTCTCTGTATAGAATTGCAGACCTTTTTAAATGGGAGTATTTATTCCCAGTTATTCTGATTGTATTTTCCCTGTAGATGGGCTAACTGAATATGAAATCAGTGGTATTTAAATAAACTGCAGGGAAGCAGTTATGTTTAGTTTTACTGGTGTTACTGAAGAGACTTGGCTTTAGTAAAGTGCGTCAGCTTGAGTTTTGTAGTTGGATGTTATTGGGATTAATCAGATTGATACTGATTGGTCCCCCCAACCCTAGCAGTGAATAATACTCAGTTCAGTTAGATCCTAGAGTGGCAAGTTTTTTGAATTCCTGCCAAATATTGGTTGCTCTATTAGTAATCCATTGGCCCACTCATTTCTATTTGTTGTTAATCAACTCTTTGAAAGTCCTTTAACAAGAGAAGGTTTTTTGTTTTGTTCTGTTTCCTTAAACTCTTAAAAGAGTAATCAGACTGAAGTATCCGTTATAAGTACTTGCTTTATTTTCTTAGTGCCTTTAGTGTAATCTTTATTTTTTTGAATCGAAGTCTCCCTATCACGCAGGCTGGAGTACCCGGCATGTAATCTTTTCTTTAAATATTGAGTGGCAATGTCTTAATAAATGAGTTGTAGTTAAGCTTAGGTGGGAAGTTCTGTGCATTTCTCCTAAATTCAAAAATAAGCCATTTAGTAAGAGGGTGTATTATATCACTTCATTAGGAATGGTTCATTATTAATTTATAGAGAAATGATGTTTATTTGACTCATGGTTTTGGATGGAGGCTGGAAAGTCCAAAGGCATGGTGGCAGCTTCTGGCAAGAGCTTTTTTTTTTTTGAGTTGGAGTCTCACTCTGTCGTCCAGACTGGAGTGCAGTGGCCCGGCCACCGCAGCCTCGAACTGCTGGGCTCCAACGATCGTTCCGCCTCAGCCTTCCAAGTAGTTGGAACTACAGGCACGGGCTACAACACCTGGCTAATTTTTAATTTATCTTAGAGATGAGGTCTCGACAAGTTGCCCAGGCAGGTCTCAAACCCGCGGGCTCAGGCAATCCACTCACCTTGGCCTCCCAAAGCGCTGGGATTACAGGCTGAGCCACCAAGTCCGGCCAGCAAGAGATTTTATACTTGAAGTTTTTAGATTAAACAGTTAATTGCAGCCTTTTGTTTTTTTGATTTTTGAGTTGGAGTCTCACTCGGTCGCCCAGACTGGAGTGCAGTGGCTGCTCCCAGCCACCGCAGCCTCGACCTGCTGGGCTCCGGCGATCCTTCCGCCTCAGCCTTCCAAATAGCTAGAACTACAGGTGTACACTACCACGCCCAGCTAATTTTTGATTTATTGTAGAGATGAGGTCTCGCCAAGTTGCCCAGGCAGGTCTTGAACCCGCGGGCTCAGGCAATCCACTTGCTTCAGCCTCCCAAAGCGTGGGATTACAGGCTGAGCCACGAGCCCTGCTAGGATTTTTCTTTTAGATTTTTTGTTTGTTTTCTTGGCTTTGTTTTTAAGACAGGATCTTGCCTGTCACCCAGGCTTGAATGCAGTGCCGCTATCATAGCTCACTGCAGTCTCGAACTCCTGGACTTGAGATCCTCCTGTCTTAGCCTCCTGAGTAGATGGTACTATAGGCATGCAGCACCATGCCCAGCCCCTTAGCTTTTGATGTTTATTATGCTGCTAACTTTTCTTAAGAAGTCTTAGTGTTATCTGGGGGGATATTGTACTTTTACACAGGAGTTCCAGTATTTAAAATGAAAGGTAGCCGGGCTCGGTGGCTCAGCCTGTAATCCCGCGCCTTTGGGAGGCTGAGGTGAGTGGATTGCCTGAGCCCGAGGGTTCGAGACCCGCTTGGGCAGCGAGACCTCATCTCTACAATAAATCAAAAAATCAGCCGGGTGTGGTAGTGCATGCCTGTAATTCCAGATACTCGGAAGGCTAAGGCGGAAGGATCGCCGGAGCCCAGCAGGTTGAGGCTGCGGTGGCCGGGAGCGGCCACTGCACTCCAGTCTGGGTGACAGAGTGAGACTCCAACTCAAAAATAAAAAAATAAAAAATAAATAAAATGAAAGGTAAGTTCACAGTTCCTGTTTTTTAACTTGATTATGGAAGATTTTAAGTATGGAACCAATTAATCCATCTTCTGGCTTGGACATTTAAAAAGTATTGTCAGCCGGGCTCGGTAGCTCAGCCTGTAATCCCGCGCCTTGGGAGGCTGAGGTGAGTGGATTGCCTCAGCCCGTGGGTTCGAGACCCGCCTAGGCAACTTGGCGAGACCTCGTCTCTACAATAAATAAAAAATCAGCCGGGCATGGTGGTGCGAGCTTGTAGTTCCAGCTACTTGGAAGGCTGAGCCGGAAGGATCACCGGTGCTTGGCAGGTGGAGGCTGCAGTGGCTGGAAGTGTGCCACTGCACTCCAGTCTGGGTGACAGAGCAAGACTCTGACTCAAAAAAAAAAAAAAAGTCAGCGGGGCGTGGTAGCGCATACCTGTAATTCCGGCTACTTGGAAGGCTACTTGGAAGGCTGAGGCGGAAGGATTGCCGGAGCCCAGCAGGCGAGGCTCCGGTGGCTGGGAGCGGCCACTGCACTCCAGTCTGGGTGACTGAGTGAGACTCCAACTCAAAAAAATAAAAATAAAAAGTATTGTCGAGCCGGGCTTGGTGGCTCAGCCTGTAATCCCGCGCCTTTGGGAGGCTGAGGTGAGTGGATTGCCTGAGTCCGCGGATTCGAGACCTGCCTGGGCAACTTGGCAAGACCTCATCTCTACAATAAATCAAAAATTAGGTGGGCGAGGTAGCGTGTGCCTGTAGTTCCAGCTACTTGGAGGACTGAGGTGGAAGGATCGCCGGTGCCCAGCAGATGAGGCTGCGGTGGCCGGGAGCGGCCACTGCACTCCAGTCTGGGTGACAGAGTGAGTCTCCAACTCAAAAAAAAAGTATTGTCGGCTGGGCACGGTGGCTCATGCCTATAATCCCGGCACTTTGGGGGGCCGAGGTGAGAGGATTGCCTGAGCCCATGAATTTAAAACCAGCATGGGCAACTTGGTGAGACTTCATCTCTACAATAAATCAAAAAATTAGCCATGTGTGGTGGCGCGTGCCTGTAGTTCCAGCTACTTGGAAGGCTGAGACAGAAGTATCACCTGAGCCCAGCAGGTTGAGGCTGTGGTGGCTGTGAGTGTGCCACTGTACTCCAGCCTGGGTGACAGAGTGAGACTCCAACTCAAAATAAAACAAAACAGAAAAACAATACTTCCCCATTCATCTCTCCCGCCAGCCCCT